CAGTCGACCCGCGTGAGGGCAGCCCTGCACAGGTGGCGTGTGGTACCCCACCGGGCAGGGAAATGGGTCTTCTCCTCACCTGCCATGGGAGTTCATTTCCAGCAAATCCTCATTGGTGCTGCCTGACTTTGCGCTGCCTGGGTCTGACTCGGTGCTGTAGTCTGGAGAAGAGCCCTTGGTGCCCAGGGATGTCTCCAAGGAGAGGGCCAAGTAGATCAGCTGCCACACGCTGCTCTTCAGCTGTTGCTCCCAGGCTTGCGCTGCCTGGGTATGGAATCCCATCCGGGGAGGCAAGGGGCCAGGGGCAGACGGGGCTGGCAGGTTCGGTGGGGCTCTTGGCAACCCTGGCACAGCGAGAGGGAGCTTCCTCAGCAGCGATTTCTGCCTCGACAGTGTGTAGGAGTACTTCCGGAGAGTGTCCATGTTGGCACGCGGCAGAGCGTCAGAGGGCAAGAGAGAAGCCCGCCCTGGAGCTGGGGAAATAGTGAGATGAGGAGGCTGAGTGCACATTTCTGAGGCCAGCCAGAAAGCTGATGGGGGTAAGAGCAGCTGCGGGAGACCAGCAGCTTAGCAGGGGAGCCAGGGCAGCTCAGCGTATCCATACCTTCTTCCATAGGGGAGCTTTTGTCCCTTGCCCAGGGGCCCACAGTGTGAGGCCACTCCATCGGGAGATGTTTTTTTGGATGAAACAGTCTCAGACATGGGATTCGCTGAGCAGAGGAGAGAGGGAGAAACACGAGTCCTGTTGTGTTATCTTCCCTTCTTCCCCAGCCCTTCCATCTCCCAAGAGATACTCCCTCCCCGCTCTGTCCTGAATCGTTCTCCCCACCTTGACGTAGAACTGGCGATTGAAGCAGCGGTATTGGGCGAACTGGCAGAAGCTCTGAAACCACGGTGCCTCTGGGAAGTCAGAGCAGACTGGCCCTGGAGAGGGATGAGAGAGAAACACAGGATGGGGACAGGCCACAGGTTTTGGCATCTGTCCCCTTGGCCCAGGTGCAACAAGAGATGAGGACCTCTTGGATGACGGTGTTCAGAGCGGCTTGTGGTTAAAGGGAAAATTAAACCTATCTGTACCCGAGTGGAGATCACAGCCTTATGCAGTTATAGCTCCCAATCCCAGGTGCCACATGCACTTTCTCTCCAAGCCATACAGGTTTTCAATTTGTCCTTCTGCCCTTTTTTACAGTTATCTTCTCTTTTACAGAGACTCAAAACTCTTGTTTCCATGATCTGATAAGGAGCCTGTTATTCGTCCTTGAAGGGTTAAGAAAAAAAAAAAAGGGGAGTAGTGATGTGATGAGTTAAAAAGATGACCAAACTGGACCTGAGATGTCGGAGAGAAAAATCATTTGACATTGATTCCAGCCATGCAGGGGTTGGAGGACAGTCCGTGTGGCCGAGATGCTGCCGGCAAACCCCGTGCCTGTACACACGTGCACCGTAGTCTTGACCAGCAGTGCCAACACTACGTGCTCAAAAAGTGCAGCTCTTCCTGTGGTGATCTCAGGACAGTCGAGGTCATGTGGGAGAGCTGAAAACCCTGGGAGATTTGGGGAGATTTGCTCTGCTCTCTGAGTGCATGGACCAGCTAGCACAGCCGGCCCTTTTGCGCACACTGAATGCACTGGTCAAGCACTGGCTGAGATGAAGGAGGTTAGCAGTGGAATTGTGCTGCTCTCCTGTTGGTTGCTTGTACACCACCTTTTACACTCTACGCACTTATTCTCTTGCGCTGAGATTCACCAGTAAAAGCAGAATTTCATGCATCCACCAGGATCCCCGCCTAGAAGAATGCCCACCTCGTAGGGAGCGTGGCTGATGCCCACCCTGTCCTTTGGTGATACCCTGTGAAATCCCTCCAGGACATGGCAGGACAGGGACTTGATCAGTGTGATGCCCCCCAGCACGGACTGGGAGCTGCAGAATGACACTCATCACACAGCCACTGCTTGCAAAGGAGCATTGCTGCTGTTGTGCAGGGGAGGAAGCCCAACCATCTGCTGATCCCAGTGCCAGCCTGGCTTTCCTGGGTCAAGCTTGCATCCCCAGCAGAGCAAACGAGGTCAGACTTGGTGCATCACATCTTGCTGTGTCCTGTCACTAACCATGCCTCTAATGATACAGAAACTTTGCATTTTAGGGTGGGTGGAGAAGAAAACTGTATTTTCACTCTGGTATCTGGGAAATGAGGGAAAGCTTGACATTGATAAATTTTCCTGTAGGCTCTTTTTGCCGGCCTCTTGATTTTCACCATGGCTCAGTTCTTCCACAGCCTGTCGAATGCTGAAGGCATGGTCTGACAGGCAGCTCGCCTCCTTTAGCACCCATCCCCATCTCCTCTTTTCGCTCAGATCATCTCCTCTCTGGAAACACTCATCTTTCTTTGAGTCTTCTGACCTTCCTGCCAAGGGGAGCCCTTCTCCGCAACAACTGCTCAGCTTAGTCAATACAATCTTTTGCCTCTTTCCTCTGCTCCTCCTGCCCATGTGTTTTGTGCAAACAGCCACAGCTTGCGCTGGCTGTCAGGAAGCCACCCCCTTGGGCTTTATGGCCAACTCCACCCGCAGGAGTTCACAGTGTGGGGGAGGGGGCTGGTGGTGGAATCAATTAACAATTGCATCATCACTAAAAGATCGAGTCAGCCAAGATATTGGCATAGG